GTCTCCTCTCTCAGCTCCTCCTCCGCTCCACCTGCCTTCACGCTCGCTCACCGCTCTTACAGGACCCTTGGGCTCCCGCAGCGACTCGGGCCGCCCTTTGGACACCTAAATTTGGGACAGGGCCGGGCAGGATTAAACAGGTTCCCCGACGCTCTCATCCTCCACGCTCCAGGCGCCCTAGAGCAGAGCGTTTTAGGATTAGTTTTAGAACCAGAGATGTTGAAAATTTTGTTAGGAAGTATGCATCCCTGTGGTTAGTTACTCGGGTTTGCATTTACACCTTCATTTCAGCTATTTGCTCCCTATCTAGGTAGGCTTCAATCGAGCTTCTGCGCAGCAACACCGGGGCAAGCTGTAATTTTTGTGCTGCACGCTCTGTTTTTTCTAATTTACAAAATGAGAGTAATAGAATTTTTCGCTTTGGATTTGTGAGAATTGAAAGTGTACTTAGAACTGTACCTGGCAAATGTAGTTTACAGTGTAAAGTAGTGTAAGTAATATTTAAAAAGGTTATAATAAATGCTATAGACAGACACTGCTTAAGACTTTCGATCTGACTACTTTTGAGGAAACACTTGAGAAAGTGACATTCAAGTAAATGAATATAATGCTGAGGTTAGCGTCTGGGAAAATGTACCTTTAGAATGGCCCTGATGGGCATAACTTAGAGGCTAAAAACAAGCTTGTTGACCTGAGTCTGGGCACCAGGAACCCACAGTAGGAGAGACCCAATTCCTGACAGTTGTCCGAGCTCCATCCATAAACCTCATACATTCACACACTAATAAATTGAAAACGTTTGACTTTGATCAAAGGTTCAAAAGTCTGAGAGGTAGAGATCCAGAAGGGTTTGTGTAGATTTGTAGAGATGCTAAAGAAGAGTTAGCATAACTTCATACAAGTATTGGACAGCTTATCAGAGTGTTTTTACCCACTCGGAGCAGGAAATCCATTGCAAACAGCAGAAACAATAGTCATCTCTCTTAGGTTCAGAGATAGGGTGATAACTTGGGGTTTCTGCACTCTGTCTTCCAGGAGACAGGAGGAACAGATTGGTTGCTTACACAGAGGAGAATGAGTACTGAGTGGGTAGCCAATAGTGATGTCTTAGGCCATAGCTGGGATTTATCAATAGTATGATCGCTACTGAAAGTTCTGTAAGTTTGTATCCTCAGTCTGGTTCTTTGTCTATGACCCCTAGGGCAATCTCATTTACTTGCTTTGTTACAGTAGCGTTTATGTATTTGTGATAAAACCTTTTGTGTAGAGTCTCTCTCAGCTGAGGGTCCTAGATACCTGTGTTCTACATGGTTGTCTTGGATGGTCTGAAATGCAATGGTTTGGTCTAAGGGTTTTGGGTATCTGCTATATGCCAAGAACTGGGCATTGGAAACTAGAGGTATAGAAGTGAGAAACAAAACAAAATTAACAGTCTTGCCTTTGGAATCTATATTTTAGTGGATGAATCATAAAAACTAAGACAAGGGAATAAAATTTGTATTTTATAAGAATGAAGCAGGAAAAAATTCGTTCAAGACTAGGTCTAGGGATACAGGGATTTTAGGCTGGTTAGAGAAGACCATGGAAGGATGCAGACAGTGGCATTCCAGCAAAGATGAGAAGGGGTGAAGTAATGAAACTTAAGACTAATAAAACATTCCAGATCAAGGAAGCAGCAAGAACAGAGTTCTCCTCCCATCAGGCATGTTTGAAGACAAGGCTAAGGAGTAAGAGTGGGTGGAGCAGGAGAGCAGAGGGGAGATGAAGTCAGTAACCAGATTGCATGTCCCACTGAACGCCTGGGTGTTTACTCCAGGCTTAAAAGCCCCGAAGAATTTCGAGTAGGAATTTGACAATTTGATTAAAAAGAGCCACACCACTTAGTTTCTTCATTGGGAATAGACTGCTGTGAAGCATAGGCAGGGAGACCTGAGAAGAGACCCACATATCCAAAGATTTACCTACACCCCAGTGATGACTCCTAAGGGGTGTGGGTAAATATTGCTCAGTGTGCAGAAAAATACATTGACTGACATGGTCTGTCTCCAGAGAGGATTAAATTATTTATTTTGATGCTGAGGATCAAACTCCGGTCCTCAAGCATGCTAGCTAGGCAAGCGCTTTAGCAACTGAAGTACTTCCCCAGCTTGAGCATTTGAGTTTATTGTAGCTGACAGAGTAGGAGAAGATGACTTTAAAGGAAGGATTCAGACATTGTTTTTCCTAGTTGCTGTTACCCTAAAGCATAGATCTTTGTGTCCTTCCTCTTCCTTTTTTCAGCTTTTAGAGATTGTTGAACGGTCTACGGAGCTCTCTAGCCGTGGAGTGGTTTCTTTGTTTCTTGTTGGCTAGTGCCTCTCTAGCATAGAATTCAGCAGATAGCTCTATTAAAAGCCAGGCAAATTGTCAGCCTGGCCTCACTACACTCTCCACATCTCTGGGCTTTGTCCCTTTACGTCTTGTCTATTGTTCTCAATTGTAGATTTTCTCTCCCTACATTGGAAATATTCCTGAAGTCTCCAGGACATGGCTTTGTGCTTGACTTAAATGCCCTGCACAGAAACCAAGAAAATGCCCTGAGGAAAACCAATGGAAAGTTGTGTACTGCTTTCTATATTTCCATCCTACCTGGACTCTGGTCCTTTACACCATGACCACACCAACCACTCTCCAGCACTTTTTTTTTTCTTTTTTGGTTTTTCAAGACAGGGTTTCTCTGTGTAGCTTTGGAGCCTGTCCTGGCACTTGCTCTGGAGACCAAACTCACAGAGATCTGTCTGCCTCTGCCTTCTGAGTGCTGGGATTAAAGACATGCGCCACCAGCACCCGGCCACACCAACCACTCTCCAGCACTTTTAACAACAACTTATATTTTTTTTGTGAGGTTGAATTTAAAACAAAACAAAACAAAAAGTCTGTTTTCTTTTGAACTTTTATACTTATTCCTAAAGAATGATTATTCTGATTGGGAGTCATAGGTAGAGGCTACTCAGGTTATGGACCAGAGTGACTGGGAGAATGAGTTGTCATTTACAGGAAACCCTGAAGCAGAGCAGGTTTAGGAGTGGTCCTTGGAAATCTAGTTGGGTCATCAAGATAGAGGTGTGCACCCTTCATCCAGGTGGGAATGACTAAGCAAATGGTGGGTAGCGAGTGTGAAGTTTCTGGGGACTGGGCTAGGGCAGAAAGAAAGATTTTTGACACAATGGCATATAGATGGTATTTAGAGTTGTAAACCTTGTTAAGATTACTAAAGGAGTGTAGAGAAAGAACAGGCCCCTTGAGCTCTTCCAATACAAGTCAGGAGATGGAGGAAAAACTATCGAAGGAGACTGAAAAGGAGTAGCCAAAGAGATGGAAGAATGCCAAGTCTGGTCACCTAGGAGTCAAGAGAGGGAAGTGAAGGAGAGGGAAGGACCACAGGGTCTAACATCCACAGGTCTAAGTGAGGACCCAGCAAAGGGGAAGGAGTTGATCTGTGCTACTATGGACGAGAAGGCCCAGTTACAGTGGATTCAGAGGGGAGTGGGAGGGAATCTGTGACTAGGCCAGCTTATTGTGAAGGAAGAGAAATAGTCCAGGAGACAGAGATGAATTGGACCAAGAGAAACGTTTCTGTTTTCAATGAGAAGATTGATCTGGTGTGTGCTTATAGGGATGACTCAGTGGGGGTTTGGAGGATGTGGGACAGGAAGGGAAGAGTTGGTAATAGTTGGCCTTTTTGCACAAGTAGGGTGGCCAGCTCCTCCATAGTCAGAGGAGAAAGGTAAGCATGGGTCTGTAACCAAGCCAGCAAGAAACCCCACGGTTTCTGCTTCAAGTTCCTGCTTGGTTTCCTGCCCCAACTTCCCACGATGATGGACTAACCCGTAAGGTGAAATAAACCTTTTCCTCCCCTAAGCTGCTTTGGTCATGGTATTTGTCACTGCAACCGAATGAAATTAGAACACCTCATAAAGGGTTAGATGTGGGAATGAGGAGTAGGTAGATATAGGATGGTCACCACGTTTTGGGCTTGAGTGAAATTACACAACAATCACATGATTCTCTGAGATACAGTGATCTGTTGGAGGCAATGGAAGCCCAGAGTTCTGTTCTGGATGTGCTAATTCTGAAATTCATGTGCACATGTAATGTAGGTTATAGCTATGACGGAACAGGGTACTTGCAGAGGACCAAAGACATGAGAGGCAGACAAGAAACAGAGTGGTCTGTGATTAGCTCTCCTAGATTTTCTAGCTCCTGTATGAAAAGTATGTCAGATTTTTCTACATTGGTGATTCTAAACATCTATGTGTTATGACCAACTTGAAAAGCTAAAGCAAATAAATCCCTCTGCAAGTGTACCCTGAGTTAGTACCAAGCTGAAAGAAAACTACCATCCTTTCTATAGGAGACATTAAAAAAAAAAGAAACTTTTTTTTTGAAGAAGTGAATTAATTTGTATTTGCAAGCATTTCTTTTTTCCTACAGAGAAACTCCAGAATCATGTAAACACTGGGGCCTCAGAACCTTGTTCTGGCCTGAAGGAGCCCGGCCTTCAGGCTGATGGTATTCTGCACGGTGGTGGTTCCTTGAACCCGGTGGTAATACCCAGAACTGTAGACACACCGCTTTTCAGTTTCCTACAGACCTGAGAAGCAGAGACGATGTTCCGATCACTTCCTTTTGATCTAACGGTTTCAGAAATTCTCTCTAGTAAGAGCC